GGTGTAGTAGTAGTAGTAGTAGTAGTAGTAGTAGTAGTAGTAGTAGTAGTAGTAGTAGTAGTAGTAGTAGTAGTAGTAGTAGTTGAAGTAGTTGTAGTTGTAGTTGTCGTAGTTGTAGTAGTAGTCGTAGCAGCAGTAATCTTCAAAATGGTAGGAGGAGGAGGAAGACGAGGAGGAGGAGGAGCAACAGGAGGAGGATGATAACATGGAGGAGGAGGAGGAGGAGGAGGCGGAGGAGGAGGGGGAGGAGGAGGGGGAGAGGAGGGAGAAGGGGGAGGAGGAGGTGGGAAGAGGGGGAAGAGGGGGGAAGAGAGAGGGAGGGGGGGGATGAGGAGTAGGGAGGAGGAGGAAGAGGAGGAGGAGGAGGAGGAGGAGGAGGAGGAAGAGGAGGAGGAGGAGGAGGGGATGAGGAGGAGGAGGAAGAGGAGGAGGAGGTAGAGGAGGAGGTGGGGGGAGGGGGGGAGGAGGAGGGGAGGAGGAGGGAGGAGGAGGAGGAGGAGGAGGAGAGGAGGAGGGAGGAGGAGGAAGGAGGAGGAGGAGGAGGACGTGGAGGAGAGGAGGAGGAGGAGAGGAGGAGGGGGAGGAGGAGGAGGAGGAGGAGGAGGAGGAGGAGGAGCCCTGGTCGTATGTTGGTTTTTCCCTTGCATTGTCCTGGCACGATGTTGGAAGGGTCGCGGTAGTTTCCAGGTGGAATGCTGGGACATTCTTCGATTGCGTTTGCACGCAGCGGGGAAGGCGCGCTGCGTTGTGAACCATGCGAGTCGGCCGCTTGGAGTACCCCGTACCTCTCCAAATGACACTTCGGAAGGCCATTTGGCGCATCGATACCATCCGCGCGACCAGTTTATGAACTGCCGCCCGCTCCCCGATCACAAAAGTCTGCAAGGCTACTACCGGCTTTTCCTTGTCGCACTGGAACTCTTAGGTCGAGGACATTGATATATCGCCCCGTGCCCTGTTTCGACCATTTCCGGTTGCGTCGGGTGAACATCTTACTTCTCATCCCGATCGTCCCATTTTGAACCGTCTTGGGGCCATCCTGGGCCTTCTTGGAGGCATCCTGTGTCATCTTGGCGGCATTTGTAGCCTGCTTGGGCCTTCCTGGAAGCCATCTGGGGCGTCCTGGAGGCCTCAGAGAAACCATGAAGGCGTTGGGGCACCCAGGGAGCCTCGGCAGGAGCGGGCGATGCACGCGACGGAGTCTGACCAGAAGGAGTTGGAGCGTGCCCCTGGAAGATTACATAGCCCTGCCAGATAGTCCGTGGAATTCTACCATGCCTCAACTAGGGGAACAAACAATGGCATGAACACAAAAACTCGGAGGTCCGCGCAGATTCCTCAGAGCGGCGTTGGGGCCCCATGGCGGCGCGTCCGGCGCAGCCCCTGGAGCGTTCCGCGCGCCAGGGAGGAGAGTCCAGCGCCGATCCGAGAAATCCGCCCGGACTTACTAGTTTTTATCTCATTTCATTGCGTTTTCTACAATCAACGTGCCAGGGGGCACGGAGGCGGAATGACGCGCTTGTGTGGCACCATTGTGGTTGACGATAAAAAATGTGCGCGCGTTGGATACTGTGTTCGTACCACGGGACGGTGACCCGTCTTAATCACGCTGGCACTGGGAGCTC